CTATTTGAAAACCAGTGCAAAATTTCGGCAGCTCAATTTTGTTGTAATTCTACAATTTCTGCATAGAAAGCATTCTCTTTCAAAAGTGACGGTGTTCAGGGTACAAAACAATTATACATTGGACATTTTAGAGGAACTAGTAATACTATTGCTCACTTTTGCAGGAGTACTTGCCATGGCAGGAAGCACTGAATGGATTTTTTGATGTGCTTAAATACTTTGGCAACGAACCGGAGGCCAAATATGCAGAGGTAGGATACAATCGGTTCTTTCTCATCATGTGTCCTGGCTGCAAAGTCTATGGATGGGTCTTGTAGAACTACATGCGTAATCTACTTGAACCGACCTACAACAAAACCAGCATAGCAGAAATCACATACAAATATAGAATTGATGCGAATGACAGCTTGTTCAATGAAATGTAAGTGCTAGATTTGTTTTTGTCCTTTTCTAATGTTTTCCTTATTTCTCTATTAAAAATCAGTAAGTTGCATGTGCGGGGAGGGGGCGGGGGAATTTCAATAAGCTGTTAACTTTGCTGTTTCACAAGTTAGACATTTAAAAATATGTATAAAACTACTAAAAATATTCAACACTGCATTGTGTGTTCAATTCAATTATTGCGCTAGAAACTAATAAGGAGCGATCTCATCGCACAAAGTAGCTGTTCAGTTCAGCGTCGGGAACTGTAATGAATGATTCAAAGGTTTGAGTTTTGAAATGGAAACTAGTAGTAACATAAACCATTTCAGCCTCTTCGAGACAACAGTAATCAATGCATACTGCGCGCTCGGATCTTCCAAATGCGTCGCAAATTATGCGAGACTTTTTCATGAAGATTTTGATATATCTTGTCGTACAGTTGACATTGCAAGTCAATGTTCGAGGCAAGCCACAAACAATTGTTTTTCCTAGAAAGTCTTCGAGATACCTTATTTTCAGAGTTTCTGCACCTCTCAAACCCAAGGCTTATTGTTATGGAGTCAGAGAGGGTGGTGAGCCTGCTTTCAACAGGGTAAAGTGTACTTTTGAATCTATTCAGCTAATGGCAAGAATTCGTCAGGTCAAACAACTTTATCAGCTAGAAATAGCGGCTCTCGAAAAAGACAATCTTCGCCGTGCTTTGGGATGCCATAAAGATGCTCGGACATTGAAAGAGTACTTTGCCAGTTACAAAATACGACGTAGTGAATTTGTTGTCTTTTAGGCTTCTACAACTAGCACTTGACCACGATC